AGTCTTTCTTGCGACCTGAGCCAGGTTTCAGCGCCTTTGACGCTAACCACGAAGCAATCATGTCAACTATTCCAGGTAGTCGGCCAGGGAGTCGACATCCGTCACGTTCCAACAGCCCCCATCTATCCAGGGTGAACAGCCGGTCGAGATTGAGTAACCTGCTGGCGCCTCCCCGGAGCTACTCGTCAACTCCTCTCAGTCAAGCAGAAGGTCCAAGACGCAGCAGTCGGGAGCGGCGAAGCCGGGAAAGGTCTCTCTTGGAGGAGGAAGCACAGCGTGAAGCAATGCTGCGGGCGCTCGCAGAAGCTGACGCTGCCGATCAGCTGAGACCGGACCTGCCACGAAGTGAATCCGACCGGCAGATTGAACTACCATTGTTACCCCCTGATCTGATAGAACGAGTGACTCGGTCGTCCTTTACACGGACAGAACAAACACCCGGCATTCGTTTTGAGGTAGAGGACGCCGAGCCTACTGTTGACCCTGACCAGGATGTTACAATGACACAATAGTGACACTATACTTTCGGAAATAAGTGAAGCACGCGTTTATTGAGTACATGCGGGACGCATTGAAATGACGTCTGGTGAAGATAACCTCTTCCCAGAGGACGACTGGTCAGGCATCATATTTTTTTTTCTTTCACCGACGACGCCTCATTCTGGGCTTTACAAGGTCATGCCGTATACGGCGCTGGAGAAGATCTGTTTCAAGCCAGCAAGCAGGGTGTTCCGGCTTCAGAAGTGCATTGTTTTTCCTCATCAAACCAGCACAGTCGAGACGTCCTAATTTGTTTCGACGGGCGCCAGTTTTCAGACATACAAAAGAAAGCATTGCTTGATGACATCGAGTGTGAGACGGAATGCTTGTATGAAGAAGGGATTAGAGGGGGAAGCTGTCATAACATATTACCTGTCTACTTTTAGCATTAACATTGTAACTCTGTTCGATTCATGCATTGGGTGCCCTACAAGACCGAGTTGACTCTTTCTGCTAAGACAAGGGATGGTGCTTTGTGTATGTGAATTTTGCCGAGCGTTCACGCTTTACGCTGTTTGCCGCAGGCTGTTCGAGTTTGTATTCTAAGATGCTTACTCACGGTGCCGGGGTCAGAGACCGGTAGGTAAATTGGATAACTTCACTATATTATTACCTTCTGTCCTTTACACCACCGTGACTCTGGGCTTTTGATTGTCCCAGACTTCGGCAATTTCACCCAGTGTCTAAACCAGGCCAAAGAGTGCCATCAACAAACTGCGTCAACCTACCCAGTCAGTCTCGACCACGCTAAACCCACCGTAAGCGACAAGCATAGTGCCAGATACCCTCGATATGTAAACCGGGTTGAAGGACGATCGTGGTGATGGAAAATGTGTGGAGATGGTTCTCAGGGATACAGCCTTGCTCCTGATCGACACGGGGCGTTATGTCAGCAAAGCCTTCCTTGTCCGTCAGCCTGATGATCCTCTCTCGGACCAAAAGAAGTAGAGTTACGGGATGCTCCGTCAAACGCTGAATGGCGCATGAAATGCATTGCACTTGGACTTGTACAACTGCCGTGTAAGGAAATGGCTAAATCCAAGCACATGCTCGCTTTGCGGTCAGGCGTCTCTGGTTGATAGGGCGCTTCTCTAGATGAAACTGTACTTTTGGGCTGGCAAAACTCTATGGGAAAAAAAAAGGCAGAGGCTTGCAGGAATAGCTACAGTATTTTTCATTGGTGGGTGACCCGTCTTGACCACCCTGACCACAATACCCCGAACAGTGTGGTCTGCTACCTCGTACCGAGAAGGTCCAGTCCCGAAGGCCAGACCATGGAGAGAGACCAAACGAGGACAAGCGTGGGTGGAGGAGAGTGGTTGACATTGTCCAGTCGAGACCGAGTCTGACGAATATAGCAACATCTAAGCGCCCAAGACAGTGGATATGGCCAATCAACATCACACATCTTCAATCCACTGGATAGTGCGTTCATCCAATAGATAACCGCCTTTTCAATAGCTATCAGAAAATAACTGACCAAAGGTAAGCGCCGATCCGGCCCACAAAAACCAAATCTGCATTGCTAATTATGGCACTTTTGCTTGGGAACCCTGTGTGGCGGCTGGGATTCTCCATCTTCGCCGAACCGCTCGCATGAGCAGAAGGCGTTTCAGGTTCTGCTGCGTTGCATATGACATGCATATCGGGTCGAAAGTCAATGCAAAGGTAGGTTCACGCAGGCGATGATTAGGGCCTGATGGACATGGTTCATAATATGCGATGGTACCGCTCTTTTCTTTCTTGCCTTTGACCCTTTTTCTGTCCGCGCCGTCTTGTAAGAGGTTATGGCCTTTTGTTCAACCTCTCTGTCCGTGGTTCGCTGTCGTTGTTTGTGAAGATGTCTCCTGCCTGTGGCCGAAGAGGGTCTTTGCCATACCGCAACATCTGGGCGCTGGCAATATGCTTGTCACTCCTCGTCCAGCACACCTCCTCCCAGCTCGTTGGCTGCGACGTGCTCGACTGCAACGGTGGGGCCGACAATGAATGCACGCTCGGCAACACGACAAGTTCGTTCATCGGCACAGCCTCGTTCAACAGCAGCCTGTCCCCGAACAATGCGCCGCTCACCTGGACCGTCGGAGCCTCGTCGTCCAACGCCAGCGGCATCACCTTCACAAAGAACTTTTATCTCGGCGCTCCTCCGTCCATGAACCTCGCGAGCCCGGCCGGATTTGCGGGTTGTGCGTTGTTTTTTGAAGGCATCGCGAGGAGCCTCCCACTCAATGGTGTCACGGAGTACGGCACCGTCACATGCTCCCAGACACTGCAAGATGTTTGTGTCAATGACCTTCTGGCCCAGGCCAAGAAGCAGGTCCAGACACTTGGGTCGACAAACAATCTCGACAACGGCGCAGTGTGCACTGCTTTGCAGACGACGATGGAAGCAAACCCTCCGCAGTCGTGTCAAACGATAGCAACAGTGACATGGGGAACCATCGTCCCGAAAGGTGAGGATTCAACATGTGAAATCCCCCCGTCTTAGTGACGCATACTGACCCAGGCTCTGTAGAGATTACCGGTCCTCAATCCCCCGTCGGCGCACCAATCGCCCAGACAACGTGCCACCCATCGTCCAGCGTCTCGAGTGGCTCAAAGTACAACATCGCCCTGATCGAGACCCAAACCGTCACCTCGGAAGATGTCTCGAGCGACATCGCGCCCTTCTTCTACAGCATAACGCCGGTGCTCACCGTCTTTTACAAGCCGTCTACGTCTTCCGGCTCTCAGAATCTCGCGCTGCCAGAAGTTCATCTGACGTGCGTCAAGGTGGTCGAGGACTCGACCCTGTCGCAGCAGGTGGGCAACGCGGCCCCGACGACTGGCTTGCCACGATCTCTGACGGCTTTGGTCTTCTTGGCCTTGAGCATACTCGCCTTGCTTTGAAGCTTTTCTCCTCGTCTGCTAGGGAACGATGAGAGACTGAGCACGAGTATGGTCATGGTTCCTGTTCCGCGCGCCCTCGGAAACAGTCAAAGACGGGAAAATCGACACGGATCCGAAGAAAAGTCCAGACGTCTTTCGGGCATCCATTGCGTTAATCGTCAATCATTTCAGTGCTGATGATGGCACGCGAAAGACACAATCGGCCCGCGTCCTCTGGAAACTGGCCAGTCGCCCAGACGGCAAAGGGTACTCCTCTGTGGCAGTCCAAGGGGTGAAAAATTCCCCCAGCGACTTGAAGCATGAGGAGGAGTAGAAGCCAAAATCGGGATGGCAGTCACTCGCTACAATCGCTAAGGTTTCCCAGGTTCGGTTGACGGAGGGAGGAATGGCCACACATAAAAAACGTCAAAATCCTTTTAGGCGTAACTAAGAGGCGGTCGTGCATGTATACGAGAAGGATTTTTTGTTTCCTGGTATAATCTGCGCCAAACTCAAGGGTTCTGCGTGACCCTGTGTCTTTAACTCTTGACGGTTCGAGCGGCACAGCATCCATTCCACAATCTACGGGGGTACCACCCATGAATCATAGTGTCTATAGACCTTTGTTGCTCGCTGAGCAGAAACCAAAACCAAAATCAAAATCAAACCTTGAATCCAATTCCTGTGTTCATTTCCAGACAATACGACGTCTGTGGTTGTCACTGACTTGTGTGCAATGGGCAACGCCAAAAAACTGATTACTTATGCTGCATCCGAATCTATCAATCCCTGGGTCGAATTGGGGGTGCGAAGGTTAGACAGATTCAAGGACGCTGCGCTGCAATCTGCACTGCGATGCACGTATGGCTAGTGCTGACGATTGGGAAGCCCTGTGACACCCACCTACCCACCCACAAGTGACTTCTCCCAGGCATAGCAGACTCTCCAAGATGTCCCCCCTGGCGCCCAAGCCGTTGGGAGGCCTAAGGGCCTGGAAGTTCCGGCGGAGAACTTGTCGTTGAATCATCGTGCCAGTGGGATTCAAGTCACCCCCTCTGAATGTGTAAACGGGTTCAGCGAAGCAAGAGCGAGGTTTCCTGGTGTGGGCAACTCTCAATGACAAGATGAGATAAATGTTTGAGTAATGGTTCTGACGAGCTGTGAGGATTACAGGTGTAGTTCGTGTCGACCAGCAGGTACCACTTACCGCCGGGAGCAGGGTGTAATCTCTATGGATCTAAACTTCAAATGAAGTAGGTCTGAGAACCTTTCAGAGTCCCAATTGTCAGTTATACACAGTAAGTCTTCGAAAGCATGGGAGTAAGAAGGCTGAACAAAGAAAACAGGGGGATCCCCAAAGCAGTAACGGAGAGTAACAGAACAGAGACAGCCTTGCGGCATGGAAACTCTGGAGTACCGTAGAATCTGCGCTTCACGGTTAATGATCCACCGAGATCGACAACTCCTCAGTTCCTGCGGAGAGCAGACAAGACATCGCATACGCAATTAAGTCTTGAACACAACCTCGTGGGGACAGAGGCATACCTCACTCTGTTCCCGACGGCCCTGGCGCCGATTGAGTATCGCTGGCCATCATGGCGTTCTCAAAGCTTGCCGTGCCGACCGCTCGCCACACCTCGAGAACGTATCGGCATAGCATTCGAACCTACGATTTCTTCTCCTCCAGACCTCCGCGGCCGAGGTTTTTCGCACACAAAACCTCGTTGTTAGTGGTGGCACGACCGATTCTGCGCCCGCAGCTGCCTTTTCTGTATCCGTCCTCTCGCGGCAACACGCTCCAAAAGTCCGTCGGACGATTCATCTCCACCGAACGCAAACAACGCTGGAAGGAACAATTCTGGCGCTACGTCCGCATCAACGCCTACCTCTGGCCCGCAGCTCTCCTGCTTACCGTTCTGTCGATGGGCATGGTGCACACGAAGTTGGAACGGGACTATCCCACTCCCGGAGATTGGTCATTTTGGAGTCGGTGGTGTATGCGCGAGGCAAAATTTACCGAGCTTGCAGACGGCGCCAAGGTGAACCAAATCCTGACGGATTGGGCAAAAGCTGGTCGGTTATATCTGAACGTCCTCGAGCGGTTGGAGAATGAAAAGGTGGACGGGCAGTTCCTCATCAAGCACACGGAAACGGAGCCGTCACCTGCGGACACAACTGAGGGGTTTAATGTGAATGCGAAGAGCGAGCCGTGGCGGCGAGGGTATCACGAAGCTCTGATGGGTGCTGCACGAGTAGCTGAACACCTGGAGGGCATGTGCAAGCTGAAAGGCGACGAAGGAGGTCGGGTGTATCCCTGGGAAAGCATTCCTTCACCCAGCAATCCACGCCCAAAGCCACTTCCATATGACAGGAAGCACGGCCATATCAGTCCACCGCCTGCGGAGGAAGTGGAAGACGCTTTCCCCCCTCCATCTGTTTTCTACGAGAAGATCTTGAACACGGTTGGCTTCGATACGCGGCAACGATTGGAGGCAGCTCTGGCCTACGCCGATTGGTGTGATTTCAAGGGAAACAACACTGCAGCTGAGGGCCTGTACGTCAAAGCCGCAGAGATTGCTCAAACGGGTTTGCCGACGGGAACCGCAGACGTGATTGACACGCAGACGGGAATGATTCTCAAAGGGCGAGAAGATGCCGTAAGCGAAAACATCCTGCGAGTCAGCACTGCCTTTGGAGTTCATCATGTCAAAGACGGGAACGTCAAGAAAGCCCTCCCGGTATTTCTCAGCGTCCTCCGAGCGAGAAAGACTCTGCCTGCATCTCCTCTTGGCCCAGCCATTGCGCCATCAAGAGTCAAAGTCGAGAAGGATGAAGGCTGGCTGTCTTATGTGTATGCTCTGAAAGATTTACTGGTTGAGAGGCCATATCCTCCACCTCCAGCTACAGGCAACGAAAGACCATATCACACATTGAAGGAAGCTTGCGAAGAAGTAGGACTCATGACATATATCGGTGAGATCCTTTTTGCCACAAGTGATAGCGAGCGAGCAAAAGGCCTCAGCTGGACTAGAGACAGCGTCGAAGCTGCCGAAGCGATTATGTGGGTAATGGACGAACAAAAGGAGCAAGATGGAAGGGATCGATGTCGCGAGTGTTTGGAAACCGGACTCCAGAACTGGAAAGCTATGTCTCAACAGATGGCACGACTTGCGGCCAAGAAGGAACAGGAAATTGAGAGCGGCAAGGGCCTCTTCGGGCTCGGTCTGGGCAGAACACAACAGCTTGAAAAGGCTCGAACCGAAAGGAGGAGATGGGATGAGGAGAATCTACAGGTTGAACTGCGGAGGCAGAAGACTCTACCGCTCCTTCAGGAGCCCTTGCAGCCCATTTCTGGAGGTTGGCTATCCACTCGCGTGTGAGTGGAATCATGAACTGGTGACAATGAGATAATGAAGAGTCTTGTGCACAATCAACACCCCACGTATCCTTTGATGACTGCGAGCATTCTGGCCGCAAATGAATTGCACCAGGAGTTGTTGGGGAAGAGTGCCCCGGGGTTGGCAAGAGAATGATACCGTTTGATCTAAGGACGATGCCATGGTCACTGGCGATGGTGGAGTCTGCGACTGGACGGACAACTCATTCAAAGCTGATATTGAATGTGACGTCCGTTGTGACAGCACTCTGGCAGGGACAATGGAGACGGTGACAGTGCATGGCGTCTGCCTCACCCTGAGTGATGGGCTTCCCAAGGCAGTTGCCCTACATCATGTTCTCGGAATAACAATCTTCCGACCCTTCTCCATCATCATCACAACACGATGAGGTGAGTGAATCCAAATACATCGTTGTCGACCGCCTGGCACAAGCCAGAAACTGACCGGCGGATAGTTTTTCCGGCCCATCAACCCTGCGGCGTCGCTGCCGCCCTGACACCATCACCGGCTCCTCTCCTCCACCTTCTCCTAATGTCAACGACCTCGAAGCCGGCGAGGTCAGGATGGAGTTTCGTCCGGTGCCTCTGCGCGTGCTGCTCAAGCGCCGCTTCATCCAGCTCCTCCTACTCTTCTTCGTGGCCTGGTTCTTCCTATGCAAGTTGACTCATTACGGCTTGTTGGTAAGTTTAGCAGGTTTGAGAGGCTGCGTTCAAAGCGTTTACTGACAATACGACTACAGTCCGGTCGATTCCTTGGTCTCTCTGCATGTATCAATGTCGAATTCGGCTACAATCCATCCACCGCCTCCCTCCCAGCTTTTGAGCCGCCAGAAAACTCCACCTACCGAGCACCAGACACAATCGACACCTTTCAAAACTACGCCTGGCGAAATCATAGCGAATGTCAAATTTCCTCTCTCGACTTACACTCTGCCTTTTCTCCCTTGTGTGCTACACGGAAGGACTTCTTACAGGCCTTCTCGGGCGGTGGAAGGATCGGTTTCAATCGACCTTTTATTCCACTCGGGTGTGATATGCGCTGGTTCACTACAGAAGAGGTCTGCGAGATTTTCTCTCGATTCGAAAAGGTCATTGTTGTGGGTGACAGCATGATGAGACACGTGGTGGGAGCGTTGAATGTGCTTTTACGCAAAGATCTCGGATACGGAGCAGTGACAAATTGGAACTTTGATGACCAGGAACTGTAAGTGCAGGCTCGTCTTCACAGCTCAGTTGGACGTGTGAGGGAACCTAGTTTTACTGACACGTGGATTTTCAAAACAGGCGTGAATGCTTTTGCAACCACCAGATGGACGTTAAATCGTGTTCTGTACAGGGAATATTCTCCACCTCGTCGGTCCTCGAGCACGACCTGTCGAGCTTGGCCTGTCCGAGCGAGAGCCCCATAGACCTGGTCATCGAGATGATGCTCCGGTTTCCTCTCGACAATGAAGAAGTCAACCGGTACAAGGGCCTGCTGTCGCCCACCAAACCCGGCAAACCCTATGCATTCATCTTCGGCCACGGCCTGTGGAACGACCTCGACCTCCAAGCCACGATGAACTGGCTGGACGGCATTCTGGACCACACGCTCCTCCAAGCCCCGTACCTGTCGGCAGTGAACAAACGACACGCCCACTCCATCTGGCCGCGCCTCTTCATCACGCCCAACGCCGCGGGCGTCAGGAAACCGGATGAGTGGCTGGTCAGCCAGGGCGACAAGGCCCTGATGATCTTCGAGGAGAGCGTGCGTAATGAAGCCGCCAAGAGAGGCGTCGAGGCCATGGGCACCTGGAACATGAGCGTGCAATCGTCCAAATACGACGGCGTTCACCTGGACCTGAAGGGCAATCTGGTCAAGGCCATGGGGGTGGTTAATTGGTTGAATCTGGTGGACGTGCACGCGTGGTGAATTTTTACAAGAAGTGAGAAGTACGCCAGCCAGCCAGCCAGCTAGACAGCCATACAGCAAGGCGTAGATGTACAACAGATCAAGGAATGGAAAATCAGACATGAGCTTTTCAGGTGCCAGTAATCAGTATTGAGTTGTAGCTGCTGAACTACTGCGTAGAAGTGTTCCTCTTTTTGGACCTTCTACCTAGGTCGCTTCTCCTGTAGGTCCCGTTTCTCCCTCGACTTGATTGTGTTGTCTGCCTACATATACGTTGATATCGACGATGTGCGCGGACTGCGAAGTGTCTGACTGCGCCTGTGCCTGCGACTGCGACTGACTGTGACTGTGGCAGCACTTACGATGTGAGCTCTGTTCCCTCGTTCGCTGGCTGCGTCCCTGCCTGCCTGACTGGCTGGCTGTGTGCAGACATATAAACAATCAACCCCCTTGTTCCCGTTGTTTCCCTTCTCTCCCTTCCCTTCGGCATCCAGCATCCAGAATGCAGCCTCCAGCTCCGCATCAAAATCCAAACTCCCACGTTCCCCTCGCTGTCGCAAGGGCAACCGGGTGATTTGGAGGGACACTCTGGGATGGTTGGTCAGTTTTTTATGGGAGTCATCAGATGCATGTCTGAAGCGGGCGCGGGGCTGAAGATGCTAGGTCGTTCTGACGAGAATGGTCTGTTTAACCGTGGATGCGTGTATGCATGTATGCGTGTATGCGTGTATGCGTGTATGCGTACATGTATGCATATATATCTTTGGAGGGCTGCTATAGATGTGAGCAGCGTTGCAGCTCTAGCCGCCGAGCCTGAACTGGATTTGGTGGTCTCTTGACGACATATATACATGCACAACTAAACAAAGCTAGCTATATAGCTGACTAGCTAAGCTCGTTGGAGTGTGATATCGTCAAACAGGAGTGGTGAGCTCATCTGTTCCTCGGCAGGTTTGAGGCTGGGCGAGAGTGTTTGTCTGTGTGAGAGTAAGCGAGGGAAAAAAAAACCCTTTCATGCACGTTTCAAAGGAGCCCAGCCGGCGACGGACACACGGGCCCAGAGCATCAAGGCCCCGGTGACAAGGATGGCAGCGCCGCTCCAAAGCTGCACGCCCAACCACTCGCCGGTGCCCTTGAGGATGGCGCCAGAGACCGGGGTGCCGACGAGGAGGCCAAAGGCGCTGATGAAGAAACACTGACCCATGCGGGTGCCGATCTTGCTCATGTCGTGCGTCAGGGTGACGATGGCAACCGGGGGCAGCGAGACGAAACCGCCGCTGAAGAAGCCGTAGATGAGGGCAAAGGCCAGGAGGCCGCCGAGGGACTTGATGCCGATCCACGCCAGAGCCAGCACGGCCGCGATGGTTGCGCAAGGGACCAGCACGTTCAAGGGGCCGATCCTGTCGGCGAAGATATTGGGGATGATACGGCCGAGAATGCTGGCGGCGTTGATGATGGGGAGCAGGTAGAAGCCCAGATTCTCGCCCGTAATGTGGTTCTGGATCGCGTATGGACCGATGTAGTAGAGAGGTCCGTACAGGCCGACGAAGCCGAAGAACATGCTGACACAGAAGAGCACATACGGCAGCTCCCTGAACGCGGCGAGGTCGGTCAGCGGCCGCCTCTGCTTGGGCAGGACACGCGGCTTCATCACCAGCACCGAGAACCACACCGTCACCAACGAGATGAAGCCGATGGTGCGCGTCGCCCACGCAAACCCGACCTCCTGCTGCATGCGCCGGAACACGATCGGGTAGATCAGACCGCCCAGGCTCGAGCCGGACGCGGCGAGCCCGTTGGCCAGCGCCTTGCGCGAGGAGAAATACTGGGGGAGGATGGCGACCGAGGGGACGAAGACGCACCCGTTGCCAACGCCGACGCAGAATGCCTGGGCCAGCATTGTCTGCCAATACTCCTTGGCCAGCGAGGTCATCATGAACCCCAGGGGCACGAGAATCGCCCCGATCGTGATCAGCTCGCGAAAGTACCCCGAATCGTACAAGGGACCTGACACCAGCCCGACGAGCAACAGCAGGAAGGCTTGAATGGATCCGATCCACGAGATATCGCTAGGTGAAGCATGCCAGAGCGGGTTCGTCTCGTAATATGTTTGGAAAACGCCAAAGGCATTGACAGTACCCCTGGTCCTTCAGGTCAATTTCAAAGAGCACACACACATATATCACTTAAGAGACCCGGGGTCATGGCATACCAGGAATTGAAGAAGAGGAAGAAGGAGCCGACCACTTGCATCCACGCAGTAAAGCCACCATTTGGAGGGGGCCCCGGGTCGACACGATCTCCCTCGCCCAAAGGTGCCTGATCTGAAGCGGGTGTGATGTTGACATTTGCCTCTGCGTCAATAGCCTTCTCCACGTTCGACTGGATTCGGATTATCTCTGGCCTCGAGGCCGACAAGTGTTTCTCCTCCGTGTCATCTTCGAGGATGGTCGAAGAGCTCATGATCGAAGAAAAGCGGCGGGCTGCTGCAGCCAAGGAGAATCTTGCGAGGTCTTGCTCGGGGAATGACTACGAACACAGCGATCGGTTCGAGAGCAATGCTGAGATCTCTTCACGAATCGAGCCGCAACAACGAGTCCTTGACCAAGACTTGGAACACACAGCAGAGCTTCCCAATGCAGGACAAATCAGGACGGTGAAATGATTTGAAAGCAGACAGTACATCTTGCGAGGCAAGAGACAGAAAAAAAAAGTGGAGGCAACAAGGGCCATCTTCCCTGTCCATGAATCGAGGCAACGGATATTGTTATGGATGGAAGTGGGGATGGATAATTGCCATCAGCGGTATGGATACGCAGGGCACCGAGGTCCCCCGCCTATAATAGACAGATAAAGATCTGTTATTCGAAAAGGGCGCCAGGAGTGACTCTGAGGGCGAAAGGAGTCATTGGACACCCACTGGCAGGCTCTCTAGTTGTACGAAGACCCCCTGGAGATTGAGGGGCATGCACGCATGTCGTCGATGAAGAATTGCAGAAGAGGGTAAAATGGATGCCGAACATCCGTGTGGCCTCGAGGTTCTGTTCCGCGTTTGTCGTTACGTGCTTTGAGCGCGGGTGTATGCAGGGTACGAAGTACGTGTTGACCACTGTCCAGTACAGGTGCTAAGCTGGGAAGAGAAGGAGGAACAGAATGGGAAGCCGAGGGAAGCTTAAGATCGTTAAGGCACAGAGGTCAGTTTGCCGGGATTTGTGCCGAGATATTTCATGATTCCACCGGAAAATGATGTCGGTGAAACCCCCTCCTTCAAAGAGACGGTGGAAGACTTGGTTGTCCATCTTTGTACACACACAGTATACATTCAGTATATACGAGTAGAAGATGTGTGAGATGTGTGTTGTTGCGGCAAGTTTTGATTCGTCGCTGTGAGTAAGATGGAGGAGTGTGGCCGGAAAATGACCTCTCCGTACATACCCTATAGTCCTTGTATGGGCTCTAAAACAACCAAGGTACATCTGTCTTGTATCCTGATGAGCCGGGTAGATCGAGCATCTTTGTATCTCGAACATGGAACTGCTATGACACTTCTGCTTGGTACTCGAAATTCTATTCTCGTACAAAACTCGATTGAAACTGAAACGCTCATTCATAATCCATGGGGCCAATTGACGCTCGGCGGCAAACATGAAACGTCGCTTTTCTCTTGAATCTTGCATATGCGAAACAAACCCCCCAACAAACCCTTCGGTCTCTGCCACAAATAGCCGCCATCCGCCACGCAGATGGTCGATGACGCCTTCCGTGTCGAGTCTTCCACGATGGCCTCCCGATTCATTGGCTGTCGATGCTTCTCGTCTGCTGAGGCTCTGTTCCCCCCAAAGGATAAGAATAGTTCGGCCCACGGCCCTCCACCGACCTCGCCTACCTGAGTTCTCAACTTGTGCATGGCCACGTCCATGCACTGGACGAGGTTGTACCTTGCTCCTCACAAGGCGGACCTCTGACCTGTTCAATCAGCGAAGCCAGAGTCCTTGGCCCAGCCCACGATGTCTGTGGCATCTACCGCTGACCACCGTCGAGGACATACATGTGCAAGAGAACAAAAGGTTGGGCGAGCCTGGAGCGACATATGTAGATATGCCCTCGTGCCTCGCGCTTCGTGTTCGCCTGTTTTTCTTCTTGTTGTTGTGGTATTATTGCATTCCATCTCCTTGTTTGTCCCTCTTGGTTTTATAATCCTGTTCCTTACTTTTTTTTTTGGCGGTGCTGGGGATAACAAACATCTATATCTCACCCTTTTGAAAAAGGCTTTGGGACTTTTTGCGCTGGACGCCATACAACAACCCGAACAAGAAGACAATTATAATCTCTAATCCCAATCACGACAACAACCACCCCTCCAACAATGAGATTCAATCCTCGTCGAAAGAGCTCAGGCAATGGGGCCTTCCTGATCTCCAACCAGCAGTCTCAGTCTGCCACAGACGTGGGCCAAACACTTCCTCCACGACCTCGCAACACAGTCTTGTACCGACTGCACAAATTCCGGACCGTGCTGTTACCAATCCTTCTTGTCTTCGCTTTCAGCACGTTGATCCTGGCGGCCATCTACGCCTATTGTGTGGCGAAGCCCCATACAGACATCGCGGACCGTCTGGCTACGGACGCCGACGCTGAAGCCAATTCTTCGATATTCGGCAAACGGGGGACGGCTCCTGATGCATCCATCTCGCTGTCCAACACAGCGCCCACGACAAGTGATGCGTCAATTCGTGCAGCTGAAACCCAGCCCGAAACTGCTCTTCTGTTTTATGCTCTTACCGTCCCGGGTCTTTCTCTGATCCACCTCGCCCTGGAGCTCGTCATCCACCACAACACCCCTCGGCTGCTCTCCCTTCGCCAGGCCTACATCGCCCTGCTTGCCACTTCCTCCCTCCTCGTTTGTGGCTGGATCACCTCCCTCTCCTTCTGGATGCACTGCGAACTCCCCATTTTCAACCAGAAGATATCCAGCCAGGCTGTCTGCCCTGTGCAAGTGCGGGGCCACTTTATGTACGGCA